GCAAAGGAATTTTGAATATCTATAATAAAAGTGAAAGCGAAGTTTTAAGATTATTAATATTAAAATTACCTCGTATGAGTCGTTTTATCTGCCAATATATCAAGAAAGATGGTTCGATGTGTGGGAAAGGATGCATGAGTGATTTAGAGTGTTCCAGACATTTTAATGCCCTTCCTAAAACAATATGTCCTATCTGTAATGAGCTAACATATTCTGATACTGGAATCTGTAGCACACATAAAAGAATTTATAAAAATGCCTAACGTGAAGGTAAAAAAGTTAAAATGTAATCAGACATGATCAAGACACCTAGCTGAATAATAATCTGACTAAAGTATTATTTTTCCTATCCTATAGAGTCAAAGAGTTCCTAAATATCATTATTTGTTTTCGGCCTGTATGGTGGAAGCTCTGGAGCGCCTTTATTTCCAAAACCAGTACCATTATATGGCCGATGATTAATTTGATATGAATATTGCCAAACTTGTTGTCCTTTAGACCTTATTCTTTTTTTATCACTTTTAACAGTATATCCGTACCAATTACCAGCAATTGCATTAATTGCTTTTATAGCTGATTTAAGATCTGGTATTTCTTTTACGCGAGATTTAAATCTAAAGAGCAATAAGGATTGATTTTGGATTTCCATAAATCTTTCACACGATTGAGCAAACGCTTCTGAAATAATATTACCCAAAAGAGTACGTATATCATCAATGCCAGTAAAGCCTAGTATTTGAAAAAGTTCCTGTATTGCCTTCCACTGTTTAAATAAATATGCCTTTCATAAATCAATTGAAGATGGATCTGAAGAATTATACGATTCCTTTTACTGTATAGTTTCTTTAGTTTTTAACCCTTCTAAAACTTTTATTGCATCTGAACCTTGTCTTCAGAAATATGCCAGTCTTCTAAAATGTCGTAAAGGTTCAGGATTATTAAATTTTTTTATAAAACTGATATTGCATAGATTAATCCATTTGACATCATCCATGCCCCAGTCCTGATTATCGTCCTTACCCCAATATCTCCTGAAGCGTATATTCTCCATAAATAGTGTCATTGCAATATCATATTATCAGTGAATGAGCGGGTGAAAATTTGTTTAAAAACTTCAGCATCATCCAGAGTAATATCAGATGCGTTGACTATTAATTCTGCATCAGAGCCTTTGATATTTTCTTCAACCGCCTTAATAATATTAGAAACTATTTTCCTATCGGCTATAGTATCTTCTGTAAAAATAATTTTAAGTGAAGCTCCTGTACTTAAAACAAGATTGCAAAGAATTTCAGGAAAGTACTTTGCTGATAAGTGTCTCTTGTATTCAGCTTTAATATATATTTCGACTGCTGGAGGTACATCAAGAGCATAACAATCAGCAATTTTATCCCATTCTCGATGCCCTTTTACTGCTATTGGTAAATCAATAGGTCTTAAAGCAGAAAGTTCAGTATGAATAAGACTACGATTTGGCTCTTAAAATATTTCAGAGGACTTCTGACTATTATATAAAGAAATTATGCATTGTGGACAATCCTGAATTCGATAAAGCATCTGTGCAAAAGCTTCGACATGTACTCCCATTTTAATATTGCTAATTCTTATAATAGCATCAAAATGATTAGGAATTTCAAAAGAGATGCTAGCTTCTACAGTACTTGTGTAAATCACGCAAGCAAGAGAACTCCAGGTAGTATTAATATTAGTGAAATTCTCTTGTCGTTGCATTCTATTCATTTGGCCAAAATAAACACGAGTTAAAATAGGTGAACCATCCAGTTTTTGCAATGCAGAAGCTTGGTTCGCTAAAGCTCAAGCTTTTTTACATGATGTTATTGCAAAAGCAACATGCTTACCTTCTCAGAACATCTTAAGAACTCTTCTCATAGCCTCTGAACCTTTGTCTGAATTTTAAAGAATCTTAACAGTTTCGCCTATACGAGGTTGATATTTATTATCGAAAATTTGTATATCATTACCTCGATATTGTTTTAAGAAAGCTATAGTGGAGTCATTCGCAAAAGCATCCATAGTCACAACATGAATAGCTGACTTTAGCAAATCTCACATAGCATTTTCAGATTCTCGCGCATGAATACCACTAGACATTTAGCGTATAACTGCATTGACTTCATCTAAAATAACTACATATGAACGCCTTTCATAAAGCTCAATACGATGTGTACTTTCAACCTGAATGATAATAACATCTTAATCACTTATAGCTAAACTACCCTCAATTTCTTAATATTGGCATACGCGAAGTCTTAAATTATGTAATATTTCAATTTTAGCTTTAGTCTCATTGGTAAGAGTTTTGCGATATGAAACTCAGATAAAGCAAGGCAAATTTTCTCTATTTCCAGCTAAAGAATTGAGAATTCCTCTTAAAGTTTTTGTTTTACCAGTATCTACGGGTGAATGGATAAGAGTTGTACTACATACAGAACTTAAGAAGTCTGGATAAGCTTCTGGAGCCTCTTCCATCTCTTTTACATTAATATTTTTTCCA